ACTTTCTGAGGCGACAGTCTGGCGACTACTTTTAAAACTCTGTACGCGTGCATATATCGTCCCATACTTATCAAACACAGCGCGTACTGCGTCCATATATGCGCCTCCTCGTGCGAGAATTTCATTGCTCTCTCGAAAGACTGCAAGTATGCAAGACAAGGTGACGCATCAATTATGTATGACTGATATGTATATATTTCGCTGAAACGAAACGAGCACGGAAATGAAAAGACAATGTATTCCTTGTGATGTCTATTGAATATTGTGACTAACAGAAAGTTAATGTAAAACAATTTATTCTAATATCGAGGTAACAAAGTTACTTCAGACGGCAACTGTTATTGACTCACACTCTAAAGTCCGCATTCTGGACGCGTTTACAACGATGTTAGCCGCGCTAACAACTTAACTTATTAATAGTTCCGAATAGGAATTTTGCTGCGCGATTATAGATTTCTTCTAAGAGCTCTGTTATTGCCGTGTTTAGAGTACAAGGGATGCTGAGAATGCTCATGTCCCTCGTCTCGTTGTTAGCGCGTTCAGAATACGGGCCTAAGATTTCTTACTGTACAGTGAAGCGATATTAACCTCGAACAAAAGGTCCACTTGACTCCATCTGACGACGACTACGGTGAGTAGATCGTAGACAGCGGTGGCGTTCTCGAAAGCGTGTATCCTCGCCTCCTTGAACTCGGGCGATTGACTGAGAACAGCGTCCCTGACCGCCATCGCTTCGCTGATCAGCAACAATAGAATCATCTCCTCATACTCGTTTTTCGGGACGAACATGTTTGGCCCTGCGTATTTCTTCGGTTTCCATGGCGAGCTGGCGCCCGAGTAATGATTCACTCTTCTGTTGCTCACGGCTGCTGCGGGACCGATATCGGGTGTGAAATTACTTCGCTCGGGAAAGGATCTCACGCGTTACCGTACCCGTCGTGTCGGTTTGATCCTCCGGTGGCTTGTAATCGGCGCCGCTTATCCCGCGCAGCAATACCTCCGCCAATTGCCTCGTCAGCGTCACTCGCAAACTCTGAGTAGTCGTGGACTCGACAGCGGACAAAATCTCCCTGTCGCGATTGCGAACAGAACAGAACAGAAACAGAAGCTATCAATCTGGAGTAATATCATACGTAGAAAATGCAATGTAAATAACGCTATAAATACAAATGATATAAAAAATATAAATGATATAATGATATAATGATATAATGAATATAAATGAGTAAGAAAATGGCAAGTAAATCGTGTTGCAAATGAGACCAGATCTTGAAATTAATAAACTGATGAAATATACATGTGTGACGCGCGACAGGTGAATATCTCTAAAAAAATACGACGACAAAAAAAGACTTTATGGAGCAAAGTTATAAAGCGTTTTTAGGAGTTACATCTTTTTTATATTTAATTATATATGTATATATATTTAATTATATATTTAATTTTTCCCTATACGCGTTTCTCACTCTGTATGTGTGTGTGTGTGTATGTGTGTATGACTCTTTTGGCATATTATAGATAATGTATTCATTACGAAATAAATAATTTACATAACAGACACACCTATAACGATGAACAGCGGCTTGTATGTTGCCAGTTTGAATGTACAATATCGGTGCTCTTTGTAGTGCAGTCTCCAAGATGGGACCGATGTGCTTTGTGGTGCAGACTGGGGATTGTGTGGAGTATGTACCTGAAAACGCGAGCATAATGTTAAAACGGGAAAATGATAACGTATAAGTGCGCGAACTCAAACATTCGATGATCACCTGTGTTATTCGTGTTTATGGTAGAAATACCATTCTGCTGCTGCATTGCGATCTTGTCTTGCTCTTGTAGGTATACTAACGTCAGATCGCCGGAGATCTCGTAACACTTGATTATCTGCTCATGCCATTCTGCGATTTTATATTTTGACTTAGAGTTCGGTGGCAGTCTCTCCAAGCAAAGACCTAGATAAATGTCAAAGATCGCACATCAGTCGTCAGTCGGGAATCACCGACATATCTAACACATCATGGTGCAGAAAAATTGTATGTAAGAAAAAAAAAAAATTAGAGTTCTTGTAGCGATCACGAACGTGTAATAAGATAATTTATGGAATTTGTAGCAGCTTCGCCTGACTTTTCGTTAATAAGAGCCCCCCACATCGTGTGTTAGCCCCGAAACCTTCCACAATATGTCATAAATCTAGCCGGATTGTTCTCGACGAAATCGAACGGATAAAAGTGAACGTCGAAGGAGGCGAAAACGAAGGATGTTCCTTCGATTTTATTTTAGTAATTGAAAAATATTCTAATAATATACTAAATGTTAGATAAACATGCGGATGAGAGAAACACGTACGCTCTTGAGTGACTTTAATTACAGAAGCATGTGCAGGCGCACTATTCTACATTATGATAAAGTGAAAATTACGTTATAGATTGTGCGATATATACATGGACGTGCATTATCAAATAATCGTAAGCGGAATGAAGCAAATAAGCATACAAACCTTTGATCGCATACGATTCTGCTATAATGCGCAGTCTCCGGCAGGACAAATGTTTGACTGTGTCTAAAGTAAATCTTTCTTTCTCTAAATCATACACAGGCCATAGTAATAAATGAATACTGGGCGGTCAGAAGTTTTCGAATTAAATAAATGCGTCTAATTAACTTCTCACTGAGTGAAACTAGTGCACTAGGAATGGCTAATAGGGGGACTAAAGTAATATGCGGCAGAGCTCTTTCGATATACTCAACTTGAAATTATGCTATTTTTGTCTCGGATCGTCTATACTCAACACAAAAAATGTCTTACACATCAAACGTGTATGTATATATAGATAGATATAAATATATGGTTAATCATGTAGAATCACATAACTATATCTAACAAAAAAGACTGAGACTACTGTTAAGGGAGAAAAAACACAGAACTATCAAGCAAGCTGTTACGTGTACCTCTTCAAATATTGCACTAATACATACTACTATTAGGGGGAAAAAAAAAAAAAAAAAAGGATAGAACTGCAACTGGTAACAGTTATTTAATGCAAACCTTTAATTGCATACGATTCTGCTATAATACGTAAACTTCGACAAGGTAATTGCTTTTCTGTAAGTGTATCTAGTTCGGCTTGTTGATAATGATGAAGCGCATCTTTGTACATTCCCATTGCGTAATTAAGTTTCCCAAGTAGCAAATGAGCGTCCAGTACAACCAAAGCCTGGAATATGCATATTATTACAAAGAGAGTAGAGAATGGTACAATTCGATTTTACATCAGATATTCTTAAGAGATATATTTGCTCTCCGATTATCTCTTCTGATAATCTCACTAGGATTCTGGCATTCTGCGATACCTGTTTGTCCTTCTCATTGGCGGCTAACATCAAGTATCTCCGCGTTTCCGCCAGTCCATTCCTAGCCTTGCTAATATTGGCATCAATTGGTGGAGTTTGCTCTAAAAAGCTCTCCAATCTTCCTTCTCCACATAAGAAATTTGCCAAACACTCTGTCGCATAAAATAAACATATACAAAGAGTTATAAAATCCATATTAACTTCTCTCTCTCCTTGTGACGTATTAACGTACTAGAGATTTACAGTGTATCTCAAGCTCGTGCGATTATAATGTTACGAGAGGAAATATTGATTTTAAATCATAGTGATAGGCATGAGAGACTCTGTACATTGTATAAACGTCATTTTTTCCTTTCTCAATGGCAGAACGGCAGTTCAAGAAAGTCCTGCGAAACAACGTGCGTACCGCGATAACAAGTGTCATGGAGCGCACGTCACGTCGGTAATTAACGACAGAACAAGCGTGACTCGGTCACGTCTATCGCAAAAAAAAGAAAAGTAAGCGGATATCCTTGATCTTTACGTGACATGACGTTTTTTCTGCTCCTTCCTCTCGTTCCTTTTTTTTCTCATCATCTCGGAGAAAAAACAAGACGTTACGAAACAGGAACGTCATCGAGGTGACAACCGTGAGAGACAACTGTCTTCCTTCGGGGACGCGTCATCGGTCATCCTCTCGGACGAGTCCTCCGCTACGCGGAGTCATGGGCGGACGGGAGGCGAATAATAGAGCGAGAACATTTACCATTGCTGGGATACTGCACTTTTAGGTGTTCCGCCAGCTCTATAACCTTCTTCCAGTTGCCTTCCTCACGATTCCGATCGATCTCGGACTCGATGCGGAGGGTGTGACTCTTCTTACTCGTCATCGTGATCGGCGCGTTACGGCGGCGACGGCCGAAATCACCTGGACGCCCGTTCAATCGGTGCTGTGCGAGCACGCGGCGATATATTGATCATCAGTGATGCTTCTTCCTGCGCGATCACGAGCGGCGGTCATGACAAGTCGCACGGCCTTCTCACGGTAGAAAGACTGCTCTGAATATAGCACCAGACATGACCACCATCGCGGACACGTGCGCGTGGCAAACTGTCACGAACGTCACGGTCCGTCCCCCCTTCTCTCCTCAAGGATCGTGCGCACATCACACACATGTATGCGATGTGAAGCGCGACGTCCAATAAGAAGACTTGCTTCCTAGGGACTTCGAGATATCGGTCTCGCGACGAATTTTGCGATAAGTCCGTTCCTTACAGCTGCACTTTAGATTAAAACTTGATGGAAGAGAGGAGAAAGTAGAAAGACTGCAAGATAACTCGGAAAGTGTATCTATAAAGAATAGATTTATAGATCTTTTCCTCTCTGGTGTAAATTCGTGAGAATTTTCTAACTTGAAGTTTGAATTGTTTTTTTTTTTTTCGGACACTTGGACTTCTCCATATTTTCTCACGAGTTCACAGACTAGACAGGAAAAGATTCGCGATTCTCCCGATGTTAGAGTTGTATTTTCTATACCATTTCTTTCCTTTTCATTTCCGTAATTCAACGTGTATCCATCTTCGTTTTTATTTTTTCAAGTGTGAAAAGTGTAGAAATTTTCCGTTAAAAAATATCTCACTGTTTTATTATAAAATATCTTTACAAAAAACGCGCCTTCAACCCAGAAATTAAAACAAACATTATTGCATACCACAAAAGCTTTAAATATCATATATTACCTTTTCCACTCCCTGTATGGGAGTTCTGGAACACTCTGTATATATAAATTACCTTCGTTAGAAATGTTGTAATTTTCCTTTTACGACGTATTAAGTAATTTTCTTAAACAATCTTTCCATTTTGTTCGTGTATCCATTATATTATGCTGTAAAAAATTATATATATTTACATCTACATAAATATGCACTTAAAATGTGTCAAGTTGAAATAAATAAGATGAAACCTGCAATACGTGTACACCACGTTGCGTAAGTACAATCAGTTCCTTCAGTCCGTCATTTGTTATATCCATATAGCTTATGGAATGTACAGGAGCGTCGAATAGCTTTCTAACGGTTAATTCCCATGTATCGTTCACCAGTGCATAGATCAAAACTTCCTGATTATAAGTGCCAAGCAATATCTCATTCCGACCGTCCATATTTATGTCGGCTATGCAACAACACAGGATACAATCTGATGATTCGCTACCAGTCAATATCACGTCCTGTTTCATTCCATGTTCTAATATATCCCTGGTGAAAGATCATTGATATTTTATGCTATGTTCAATCTAAAATCTTTAAATACTTAATATTTAATAATTCAAACACATAATACATGAACTACTTACTCGAAGACAATAGAATGACTCGTACTTGAAACAACAACATTCAATTTTGGTACATTCTGCTCCATACATTTTTGGGCTAAAACTTTTCAAGAGTTATCAAATAAAAAACATATATCACAACATAGAAAATATACGTAAAAATATGTTAAAATACTTACAATTGGTATTTACGAAGGCTGGTTTGGTGACAGCATTATGATGTGGAAATACCGTCACATTGGGCACAGGTTGATCATATCTTAGCAACCAACTTTGAGGGACTTGCAGGTCCGTCACATTTACCACAGCAACTTTGACTAGACCACATTCACAGCCGATAGCAGTAATTCTCCTGCAGATTAGCATGTTACACATATAAGAACACGCATGTTACATTGATAAGATATACCGAACAATTCCTTTTCATCGCACAAACCATTTGTAATCACTGTAATAATAAATATTAATCCACAAGGCAATGGCTTGAATGTCATGTAGCTCGGGAAAATATTTCTCAATGGGAGACTCACTGTAACCATGGCTCAACTTGTCCTCCCTTATCATATGTATCTTATAGTCACTGCCAGATATCAACCAGACTACCTGTAAATTTTTAATTATTATTATACAGGAACAAATGTAGACTTTGCTGCAACTGTAATATGTCTTAACTTACTGACGAGAAATTCTGACATTGTCCTTTATCAAGTTACCTCGTGTGCGGAATTTTGTTGTGGTAAAATGGTGTGATACAGATGGTAAGGAGTGTAAGACAGTTCTACCATAAGACAGTTTTGAGCTATGGCTTCGACCGAAGTACCTTCGTCTCCTTCACCATCTGCCGCACCTTCTGTATATATGTTCAAATATCTCTCGATTGTGTCGGAACCAGTTTTAATAATTGTTATTCCTATCACGAAGCTATCTGCGGTGTCTGACTTATTGTAAGCGTCGATGGAAATAATTTCCGCGCCACCTAAGGCAGATACAAAATTTATACGGAATACCATTGACTTGGCACGCTGTGGAAAAGGATATGTATGCATGTTTCATATATTATCGTAATTTCTCATACTGGGGATGTACGTGAAAAGCAGTTCCTTCACCATAGGCCTCAAGTTCAAATCCAGCATCAGGTGATACTCGCAGGAATATATCTTCCTTTTCAGAGAAGCCACCAAGAGTTTGTTAGAACCATTCGGGGAGCATAGTTTGGTCATCGAGTAAACATTACCCTGCGACGCCAACGGAAACCAATGCGCATCTATCAGGTTATTCATCATTGCTGCGGCTGGACAGAGCGTAAAAAAGCTCTTTGTCTGTTCGTTTATTATCTCAGATGGAGGTTAAGTCTACTGTAATCTTCTTCCTTTCCTTCTCTTTCCGTGTCTGCCACAATCTATCATGGTAAACATTTGTTTCCCTTTCGCTTTTTTGCCTGTTAATTACTCCATGTGGAGATTCACCATGTACTCAACAGTTTGCTCATTCGCTGCTGCTTCGGTTTCAGCGACAATTTCAGATCGCTTCGAAACTCGACCACATTCATAGGAGAGACTCGAGTTCGCACGCCGCGCGCGGAGTAGTGGGAGAGTTGGGAAAAAAGAGAGGGTCCCTTTTTTTATTCGCCAACGTAAGATCTCGTCACGGCGATAACGCCGAATACATGACCCCCCCAGTGAAGTTTCGCAATCGGTGCCTTGGGAGAGCCGTGGATGACGTTATGTACGTGAAAGTGGGTGTGCCTGCGCGACTTGCTGGCCGGCGTTCGCACAGATCGACTCCGTTTCTCAGCGCCCGTCTCTCGATTAATCTCCGTCCGGATCTTCCCACCGGCATTAGAAGCCGATAGAAGCGGCAAAAAGAACCGCAGGTGGTACCCATTGTTCAACGTCATCGCATCTCCCTCGGTAAGTGTTCCTTCCGATCGTTTACCATAACCGGCCATAGAATCTCGACAGGTTTTAAAGTGATCCTTGCTCTTTACTCACGACGGAAACGGCCGACGTAATAATTGCCGTCTGAAATCCCACGAAATCGTTACTCATTGTCGGTCCCGTTGACTCATCTCAAATGTCAGGCCGATTATTACAAATGTCGATAGAAGGTGTATGACGCATCCGCTTCATCGTCACGCTCATCGTAGTAATTCTGTTTGACAGAAGATCCCGTGACTCCGCTTTCTCTCTCTCCCACTCACTCTAGAGTCAATCGTATCGCAAGAAAATGTCGCAGCAACAATATTATCCCTTCAAGGTATGTAATTTCTTTCCCTGTTATGGAAATTAAATAATCGCTGCTGTCTCAGCCATAACTAGTAGCATTGATCTATTAACGGAACCGCGCCGGTATCGATCATCCGTATTTTTAACGTTTAACCTAGTTTGTCAGTCGATTCACGTTCTCTGTCGAGGTCAATTCGCATACAACTTTGCGACAAATGACATTTTCAATGGATAACAAGGTTTTTCATTATAAAAGAGTGTTACGTATACACAATTGTAAAAATATATAAACATAGTTTCTCTCTTTGAAAAAAAATTGTTGCTCCTGGAAGAAATATAAAGCGTTTTAAGTTTACGATTTTTCTCAAGTATTATATGTTTGTAATATATAATACATATAATATAAATATATAAATATAATATAATTTTTCTCTTTTTAAACACAAACGTTCTCGAGTATACAACAGACCTCAGGAGGCCTCACAAAACGAACAATTATATTCTTACAAATCTAACAGTGCACCCCGACTGTGTATCCTGCCGAGCCGTTTGATGCAAATGCAGATGCCGCTATTTTGCGGAAGGCAATGAAAGGCTTCGGTACGGATGAGAAGGCGATCATCGACGTGCTGACAAAAAGGGGGATTGTGCAAAGGCTTGAGATCGCGGAGGCGTTCAAGACTCTTTATGGAAAAGATCTAATTAGTGACCTGAAGAGCGAATTAACCGGGAAGCTGGAGGATGTCATTGTTGCCCTTATGACCCCACTGCCACATTATTATGCCAAGGAGCTGCACGACGCCGTGAGCGGTATGGGCACTGATGAGGAAGCAATTGTCGAGATCATGTGTACTCTCAGCAACTACGGCATCCGTACAATTGCTGCATTTTATGAGAATCGTAAGGCCTCTTGTCAGTTTTATCTTTTGCACTTTTATCATTGAAGAATACAGAGACTCAATTAAAAGAACGTTTCTAACAGTATACGGTAGAACACTGGAGAGCGATTTGAAGGGGGACACGTCGGGTCACTTCAAGCGATTACTGGTATCTCTCGTGCAAGCGAATAGGGACGAGAATCAGGGAATTGACTATACTCAAGCGGCCGCTGATGCTCAAGCATTGTTTGAGGCTGGTACGTGCCGAACTTTTGTGGAAGATTCTATTTTTAACCCGCTGTATCTACTATAATTTGAGAACTTGTATTTCGTAAGGATATTTCACAATGCTCAATCACTAATTGTCGCACATAGGTGAGAAACAATGGGGCACGGACGAGTCCCAGTTCAATGCGATCTTAGTGACACGCAGTTACCAGCAACTACGACAGACATTTATCGAGTATGAGAAACTGTCCGGGCATGACATAGAGGTTGCCATAAAGAAGGAATTTTCGGGCAGCATCGAGAAGGGCCTCCTCGGAATAGGTAAAGCCTCCACGCGAAAGCACATTGATTACATATTTGTAGATTATGTTCGCGTTTTAACATTTCGTATTTGCGAATCACCTTCAGTTACTAATTTCGTGATGTGACTATATCTCGTTTCTCCTTGTCGGCCGGCAAATGACACGTTTATTTACCGCGGGAATGATCGATCCAACTGTGTAGGGCGACTGAGATTGACTAGGCATTTGCACGATATGATTTTTCCCTTTTAGTTGTGCTTGAAGGTGACATAATTGTGCGTTCCAGTACGAAATGCAAGCGACACTTGAAATAGCGTACAGCGCGGGGAAATGAGTATAAAGCATTCGACCGATAATGTAAACGTAGTGCCACGTGAGCGAGTCATTTTCCGTGACTCGCGGCATCGGCCAGACACACACATTCTCATGCTTCCACGAGTTTTCGTAAAGCGATCGAAAAAATATTTTCGCAGGGCGGAGGCAAGTCACTATATTCCAGAGGAATATCTTCCCCCGTAGTATTGATCCTTGCTCATCCGTAGAATGGTTATCAATGTGAATGTTACTGCTGATTATCCGGATCTTTTTTAATATTAGAATTTACCCTTCCCAAGACACGAGCACACGTACGATAACTTTTGACAGAGGCATAGGCACACTTCCGGAATTTTACTCGTTCTATATATATATAATACACTCTGTCCCTCTTGTATACGCAGTAATTTGATTTTGTGCTTTTTTATAACATGAAAGAAAGATTATACGGTACATGCGATATCTTCAATTGGTAAACAAGCACACGACGTGCGACACACGCCTCATCATATCATTATGTGACACTGAGAGAAAAGATATCTGAGAAACGAGAAATATTTATTCGGTGAGTACCGCTGACATATTTATTTAAACATAAATTTATTTACAAACGATTTCATTGAAAAACTGGAGACTCAAGAAAATGTATATTTTCTCGTTTGAAAAAATTTCTTCTCATTGCAAAAAATATATATCGGCATATAAATATATTTAGTGCCCAAATGAATATTTTTTTTATTTCTTAGACATTTTTCTCTCAGTGTAACAATTACTAAACGGACATTCGAGCTGATCCTGAAATGCATGAAAATGGTGTGGACATTTTTATCGGATCCTATATAATGTATTTCGCAAAGTCGGATGCATGGCAAAACTATTGACACATAACATGTAAAACCATTCATACCACTATATATATATATATATATATATATACATTTTATACGCAAATTCATATAATCACACGAGACGACTGAGTACCGTAAGGTGCATTGGCTATCTTAGGGATTTTGTAATATAATTTCGCAGCATGGAAAGAGTATGTCCCTGTGTCTGAGTTCACTCATGCCGTTTACGTATTCTTATTGATTATATCAGCGCGTACATATATTACGTTATTACGAATCAACGTATTTCTTTTCGTCAACAGTGAAATGTGTAAAGTCGAAGGTCGGATTCTTCGCCGAGCGTCTTTACGCTAGTATGCACGGTATTGGCACGAAGGATCGCACTCTGATTCGTATCATTGTGTCGCGCAGCGAAATCGATCTGGGAGACATTAAGAAGGCATTCGAGGAACGCTTTGGGAAATCACTGGAAAGTTGGATAGCCGTGCGTTTCCTAATTTATTTGCGTAATTCCTTGTATCGTTTAGAATGAATGTGATTGACTATTTAATGAGTATGCTTGTTGCAGGGAGATACCTCCGGTGACTACAAGAAGGCGCTCCTTTCTCTCGTCTCCACATAATAATCCGGCGAAGCAATTGAAAATCTCGGGCGCACATCTGTCTTTGTCCTTATTGGCGCATAATAATCGTATATGCAAAAAAAAACGAAAGCTACTTATATCGAACATATACGCCTTGCATGCGGATTTTCAAGCTTAATCGCTTATTGTACTAATGAAAAAATAGAAAATATCACGTTATATTTTTGAATGTTATTTTTTACAATGCTATTTTTTCGAAATCTTTATTTTGTCATATAGGCCAGTTTAAACATTTTAAACGTACCATGTTCCGATCTTGTTTACGAAATATATTTAATTCCGCTGTTCTGTTAATTTTTCCTGTACATATTTAGTGTGTTTGAAGCTAAACGGACGCAATGATGGACCTTTTTCCTATGATTTCAATCGGATACACTTGTCTATCTACATCATACAAATATCTATTTGAGAGTAAAAATATTTAAAAATATTAGAAGGGACGATTTCGATATTATCGTATTTTACACTCTAGAACGATTACGAATAGATTTGAGCAAAGCAGCAGAGTTAATTAAATCGTATTTTATACATTTCTACTTCTGTTAAAAGATATTGAAAGATTTATACAAAGAATCTCATATAGTTTGTAAAAGCATTATTGAGAGATGTCGAGAGATGGAAATAAAACTGAAGAAAACGATATATTATTTATATGTTTTTTCCTACCTTATATATAAATAAGAAGCTTCATAGTCTTAGAGTAAGTTCATAAATTTCAATATATATTGATTAAAATTTTATATATTAAACAAGAAAGAAATATATTTCGTGCACTTTTTGTATATGTATGTGTGTTCGCGCGCGCGTGTGTGCGTATGTACAATAAAATAACAAGATGTAATAAAATTGTTGAATAGTTTCAGTAAGATAATCCCACAAAGTTGTTATCTTACTCGGTTAGTTTCTTACTCGGTTTTTTCTCCCTAAGACTTCGTCGAACAGGAAGAACTAAAAGTAAAGAGACGTCGATTTAAAAGATGTTAAACATTCATCACAAAGTGTGTATATATCAAACATTAATACAAGTATGTCAACTGATGCGTTATTGTTCTATAGCGAACAAATTTAACACATTACAGACCGTTACTCTTTATTAAAAAATTTTCTCCTGGACCAGGTGAAATTTCAAAACAAATGAAAAATGTTAAAAATACTTTAAAAATTTAACGAAAAAAAAAAAACGAACAAAATCTCTTTATTCATCTAATACAATTCTTATTTTTATTTTAATCTAATTAATGTTACTCTTACTTATCTAAACCTAATTATTTATGATACTTTTATTTTACTTATAACAAATAAATATAAACCAATAGAGTAACAAGTTTTTTTATCACTAACACATAAAGAGTTGAAGAACTTTTCCTAAGTACGGTATTTTAAAAAGTATTCATGAAATGTGTATTGAAATTTTGTATGTTTTACGAAACTAGAATTATATAAAATACATAATAAGAGAAAGAGTCAAATTTTGCGAACATAATTTATATACGCAATAAATTTACAATAAATTTTCTGCAAACAACTTGGTTTACCAACTAACTGATATTGTTATTCTGTATTAAATACAGAACGTTTTAACAATTTCTTATGATCAATTGCAAAGAATAACCGATTATAAGAAACATAATCATATAAATCATTGAGTTTTGAGGTTTGATCCTTTAGGTTTCTTTTTGACAAATTTTGAGGCCTTCCGAATATTCGCCGTAAATTCGGTTGAATCTATAATACGTTTCTACCGTTAGAATTTGAACACAAAGTATATTTCCAAGTTTTGAAAATCAAATAAAGTATACACATACAAATATGTGCGCACAGTCTGTAATGCATTAATATTTTATTAACGTTTATTCCTTAGGGAGTAATTTATATAAAATGTGGACCTGTTTGTTCAACGGTACTTGAATTCTTTTTTGTTCGTTTCACAACTCCGGAGGTATTCCGAACTGCCTTAAATGACTTGCATATGTCAATACGTGGCTTGAACATAGCAGGCATTTTATGGAAGTGCTCGAGTGCTGGTGTCATTAACATCGTGTCTATAGGTGGCCACGGTGTGACAGGGATTGTCTTGAATTTAGTAGATTCATAAAAGGAATGTAAATCCAAACTGTTTTTCCTGTAAATATATGTTCAGATATACACGCTATTTTATTAAGTACACGAATCGTATATCTCGATATGTATATTCGTCCGATTACTTCTCGAACAGTTGTTATATTATTATCATTTATCGTCCATTTGGCTGATACTTACACGCCTTCCTCAGCTTCCTTATAAATATATGCAAACGGCCCATGTTGCGCGATATGTTGTACGACGTACCGGCCAGGAGTTAGACACGATAATCTTTCAATTACATTATGTAAAATTGTTAAAGAATCTTCCACCTTGACGTTATAAAGCCTTTTCATTTCGGCGCTCAGCGACATCGCCGTATGCCTTTCTATTTGTATTACTTCTCCTGTCTCTACTGCTATCCTGACTATAGTGATGAAAAAATAGTTATACATACAATATCTAATTACACACACACACACACACACACACACACATCATTGTAATTACAAATACAATAATACCTCGGGCTAAAGATACACCTGGTCTGAACACTAGCGACCCCCATTGCTGTACGCCTTCTTCTAATGTTGCAGCTTCTGCTCCAAGTGCTAACTGATGCTCTAGTTTTGGTGCTAACATCAGAGGTCGCGAGACCTGTTCGTTCGGTAAAACCTGCGAAAACAAATTTTTGAAACGGAACTCTCCTATAATTTTGTATTCATTATAGTAAAAAGAAAAATGTACAAGAGAGTATCCTTACTTCGATACCGTCCGTTTTCGTCCGAATCAATATTTGATATTCTTTTGGAAGGTCTTTCATCAATTTGGACTGATTCTCCGATTCCACTGGTCCTATTGTGAAAAGCTTGTACGTTACATTTCGTCCCTCATCCGTCGAGGATGAGGGATTTTCTTCAAGATCGGTTTCGTTGTGACTTTCGAAAGAACTGATCATTCCTGCAACAATATCTTTCGTATCGTATGTACATACATCTACTTTGTGTCTCAAGATATTCGTTAAACTATTCGCTACATTTACCGTTCGATTTCTCGCACAATTCCAACTCGGCTTTGTTTTTCTCCGCAGATGATATCCTAAAACATTCATTATTACGTGCTTGTCGATCAATCTTTGTTTACGGTATTGTATTTTGCGGCTTACCCTTTCGACGATTCAACATCAGTGGGCATAAGATTATGCCTAAGAATGTATTTGTACACCAAACTATTTTTTTGCAATGATGTAGCAGCGACAGGTGGCAATTTTTTATCGATATAAACAACATTCTTCTCGTGGTGCGATCTTATAATTACTGGTATGATCCACGAGTTTGAGCAATCTGAACCGATGTTATTCAGTAAACACTTGAGACCACTGGATGAGATGATTAAGTCCACCTTAGTCTCTTCTGCAAGCCTCCTACAATACGTATCTTCACTCACAGGTAACTTAAAATGAGGCAAAAATGATGATAAAATTGGTGGGTATTTCTTCAATATTGTTGTATTTTTCATTCTCAAGAAGTATGGTTTATCAAATTTTGGCAATACCACTTCTGAAAAGATACTCTGAAAGTAAGAATAAATTGTGTGTGTGTCTCCTCCCTCTCTCTCATAAATATAGAAGAATCAATCATGTTAATAATTCTTTTACCTCTTGTAAACAAGATAGAAATTTCACAGTAATGTTTTTATTTGACAAAAATGGTATATTTGACGATTCCATATAATATCTCGGCAATTTCTTTAATTCAAACAATTGTTTGTCCCACTTTAAATCTATGTATATTTTATGTTGAATAACCCTTGGAATAGTATCTTTCCACATCTGCTTTGCAAATTGTAAAAACTCATTTTGTTCTGCTGATATTTTCTCTTGCAGTACCTAAAAAAATATCTCAAGTCATCATCTTATGTTAATCGTAATCATTATATACAAATCAAAGTAAAAACACAATTATAATCATGCTTATAATTGCTTAATTATTTTGGAGGAAAGATATTCTTGATATAAAGTGATCAATATGTTTGTTCACCATGTAATTTTCAAGCTCCATTTTTTCTTTTTCTGACAATGACATTGTTTGATACCTAAATAGTTGTGACAAAACACGAGAGCACATAGCTTGCTGACTATAAGTCAAACTAGATATTCTAGGAAAGTTAGATGGTTGCTTTCTCATGCCAGGTATGTAAAGATTTTTATTATTTGTAATTCTCTGTTTTTTCATACATTCTTCGAGATCCTTGATATTTTCTTCATAGTACACTTCTTTACCTTTCCCATCATCTATTTTATTTTTATCTTCTATTTCATTCTCTTCATCTTTTATTACATCTTCCAGATCACTAATACTTTTACCAAATTCTCCCAAGGACTGCGAGTTAATTTCAGTATAATCATTTTCAATATCATGAAATGGGTCTGTAAAAATACCATTCATAATTTTATACATTGCACTATCCTTCTCTATTCTATCATCTTTGATAAATTGATCATCTATTACGTTCTCTAAAGAAGGATTCCTGGAATCACAAAATATATTATAATCAATACTCATAGGAAGGTCTCAGTGATTGTAAAATATAGATTACACTAGTAATCAATTCTAAAGTGTTCAATATTACAAATCATTAGTCGAATCGTACGACGATAATTAAATTGTATTCATGATAAACAGGAATGACAAGCATTATGTTGTTAGTGATAACCAAAAATTTATATACAGATATATATATATTTTATCTTTATACATTTTTATGTTTCAAGGCTATGAATTATTTGGCGAAATCGATCATACATACCAGTTGATAAGTTTAAACTTTTCCATATTCACTTTGTACCGTATCACTAGAAAAACTACTCATCTTCTAAAACACGATTATTTTGTATATTGACAACTTGTACGAAGCCACAGCTCGAACATATTTTTTGCGCCTCGCCGGCTTGTTTGTTTAAGTCGAATTTACAATAAGTGTAGAAAGCCTTAAGCCATAAGAAATTGACCAATCACAATTATTCTTCTGTGATTGGTCAATTTCTTACGGCTTAAAACTTACTATACTTATTGTAGACCCAGCTTTATGGCTTCTGCCCACAGAACGTGAAAATGTTTGCCGTGCGGTAAGAAACGACGCGGCTGGTTGGCTATCGCTAATTGATAGGGTGCATTTGGAAACCTATTCGATAGGTAGTGTAGCATTTAATTAACCAACCATGGTAAAGAAATCTTTGTTCTTTTTGTCCTGATTACTCAATTAATTATGCGTAAATTAAATTAAAGGTCTATTCTTTTAAGATCTATTCTATTATTATAGGTCTATTTTATATATAGTGCAACTTGATTCATTTATAAAGAACAGACTTAATGTGTGTTATGATTTTTTGTTCCTCAAATAAATAGATATCAATTTCTTTTTCAAAATCTTTCTTTCCTTTGCCCTAAAAATCGATTAAAAATCAGATAAAATTGAGTAATCAATTACTAATTGAATCTAAGATCGCTGCGATAGATCGTCTCTTGTCATACAAATTCGCAAGGGATACGTCAAACTCGGTTTGAGCAATTTTTGCGGACGAGTTTTGCAATTTAAGCAAAATGAATTTGGGAAGAGTGGCTGGTTTGAATATTTTCAACAAAGTTCGACAATTCGGTGAGTTTTATGCGAACCTCGTGAGTAATTTCGCGTGAGTTTCCTGTTTTTTGTCGTAAAATACACGGAATTTATTTTGTATAACCTCAACACTGCGTTTACGTAATCATTTGATGAATAGGAAATTTATAATGAGCCGTAAATCGATGAATATATAATCGTCACCAACATATTTTAATTACGTTTATTTTAATTACGAAAATCAACGATCCTATTACAGAAACATTGGCCAAGCCTGCTGGTTTACTCGTACGAAGATGTGGTCCAACGCAATTTCCCAAACCTACGTCTAGCTTTGCAAATCTGAATCGCTGTGCAATTGCTAATACCAGTAATTGCTCGAAATATCGTATCTTATCTAAGGTTAAGAATTTTCTAAGGAGGATTTTCTTTAGGAGAGTTTACACAACCCGCTCAATTCTGTTGTATCCTCTCTAGCTGCCTGCACGATTGACAGTCAATATAAGTCAAGCTCGTGCAGCAAGCGCGCGCCATGGTGATCATGTACGTACATGGGTGATGGAGAGACTGGTTGCTGTATCTTTCCTGGCGCTAATACCTGCCGCACTGATGTTTGAAAATAAAGTTATCGATGCGGCATTAGCAATTAATATTGTCATGCATTTTCACTGGTAAATGATCATCTTTGAAGGGAGATAATTTAGTCTATTAAATTAATTTGATTCTTTATTTATCTAACTTCTTCTGTATAAACTGTATAGCATAGAAAATATAATTGAGCAAATGTACGAATAAATTTGTACAGGGGGCTGGAGGCTATCATAATCGATTACGTACGGCCCATCGTAGTAGGTACAATAGCACCAAAAATTGCGGCTTTAGCGTTAAATCTACTTTCCGCCGCCACTCTCGCTGGATTGCTTCTACTCATCTACAACGGTCCTGGCCTTGCAAAGGTGATCAAGCAAGGATGGGCGATAAATGGCAAACGCAAAGCTGATTAAAGATACATCAGTGATACCGAAGTAAAGAAAGAAGATCGTGTTATGTGCTAACAACTTTCTAACAACTTGTAAATTGTTCTGAAATAAATTATTTCTTATTCAACAGTACCGTTTTCTATGTACCACCTGTGCGATGTTTCTCATATAATTCTGATGAGCCGAGCGACGAGTATTAAGGAGGGTTGACGTTCGAAGTATACATAAGTACATGTAATAAGCTAAAGAAAAGTTATAATTTATTCCATTAGTATTTTATATCACAAATCAATTGTAACAAACATATCGATTACATTATTGTCATGTGTATATGAAAGAAATGTGTACAACAGATAGAGCTTTCTTTGATATATCAACGAGTAGGCCGTTATCAGTTTTATTTGCCAGTACCAGCGGCAACTTTGTCTATGAAAGTTGCCAGTTTCACGTCCCTCTGTGACAATCCGTTCACATCGTGAGAGGATAAGGTAACGTTCACTTTGTTGTAAACATTGAACCATTCCGGATGATGGTTCATCTTTTCCGCCTGTAAGGCCACCCTTGTCATGAATCCAAAGGCCTGAAAGTTAGAATATATACTGAAGGATTCGAGAGTATCAAGTAATACGATATAAAAAACGATATTATGAACGTCAAGGGGCTTTTCTGAACTTGCAGAGATGTCTAAACGCACCTCATTGAAATTCGTAAATACAAACTCCTTGTAGATCGCATCTCTGTCCGGCTGAACGGTCCATCCCGTCGACAACAGCGGATTCAAGCTCTCCTTCCTTTCCTCGGGACTAAGTTTACTCTAGCACAGAACGAATTAGTCATACAACATACAATCACATATGCTAGATTTAAAATGTAAGCTACGATTAAATTAATGATTCTCAACATCGCCTTATAATTACGGCTTTTATCCGTTGCTCGCGACATATGGCCGAGATGTGTGTAACAAGTGGCTGTGATAGTCACTAAACCAAACTTTCATAAATGACTCGCACAACAGGTGGATTTACAGCGAACAGTCTTGACTGTTCGATCGAGATTTGCCTTTCAACTTCATCGCTTCCTCAAATTCGCTCCCGATAAGTCTGCAAACTTACCATTTTCGTTCTCTTCGAGGCGGCGGCAGCAGATGAATTCCTGTGGTCCAGAATGCGCGATACAGACTTTCGAAGACCCCCTCCACTCGCTCGCCTGGTCAATAAGGCTATCATAATGAGATTGTTTTCTATATAGTTCCGAGATACTGGTTTCTCATGGAATGTCGTTCACGATAGTCGTAATTATGTAACGGACGATCGAGAACGAGCGTTTTTTTTTTCCCGGAACTAATCAGAGAATCCGAACGCGAGATGAATTTTCAACTCCTTCCGAGTGGATTCCTAACCTGTCATTCCTTCGGATTCTTCCCTATCAGCCTTGCGATACCGAGGACAAGTGCGGACAAATTCAAAGAGGGAAGAAATGTTTGTTCGGCGCTGCTATTAAATCTTCCAATCTTAAATATAGAAAAATGTTCTGCTGCGTTTATTTGACGGTACATATTTGTTACCAGATATTGTTTATGTCTTTTAAAAATTAGAATTAAAAAAATCAGATTTTTTTTTTAAATTGCGAAAGTATGTAAAATATTACATTGAATCCATCAAAGTTGAAGAGCATTTGTAGGCAAAGTGTAATTATATATATTTTACAATATTAACACATTTTAATGAACATGGTTCTTATCATAATTATATAAAACGCACATAACGCTCATGGTCATAATGATTGAAACTCTGACAAAGAAATGTCACAATGAGGTGTCACTGATTGGATCTGATTGTGGGATTTTTCCTTCCTTTTTTAACTACTGGCACCGGCGCTGGTAACGGAACCTTCAACGTAATCATTTTCTTATCGTCTTTGTTAGGAACCGCACCAATGATCTTCGCGAGGTCTATCAGTTTCTTCAAACTCGTCCGAGTTCCCAGCATAATTCGAAACAGTTCCAAGTCCAGCGTATAGTTGGATATCGTCAGCGCGAGTATCAGACAATGTATGGCAGCTTTGTCCTTCATGGTATTTGGCCTTGATCTGCGAAGAGAAATTCGTCGTTATTGCTCACAGCGGTCGAAACTCGAAAGCTCAACTTACCGTCCGTTCGCACTCAGAACGCTGTACGTGTTGAGAACGTGCGCGTTCACCTCTTCGGACGCCTGACATACAACAACGTCGCGTTTCTTCGCGTCTTTCAGCGGCGTGGCGAACCACAAGTTAACCGCTTCGATGTAGAGCAACAGAGCGATCTTGTTCACATTGTCCGGATCCGATTGTATACTCTTTAAGACGCGCGTGAAGTATTTCGGTTTCCTGTGTGATAAAAAAAAAAGAAGACAATTAATACTGCGCTAATACCGCGAATCTCGAGGAAGAGTTGCGGATATCGGCATTTTTACGAAGAAATCCTCAAGTACCCTTCTATAGCTCCTTTATGAATCTCCACTGCATGGTCGTACAATGTTTCCACTTTACTTTTTGGTATGATATCATATATATTGTATACATCTTTGACATTAGTCGCCTCCCTATTGCACTTCGGTAGATTCGTGTTTGTGATGTATTCGTCGGGCAATTTGGTAGACAAATCTACCCTGTCAACCTCGATGTCTATTAAGGGATAATTTGGTAAATTTTTATGTGTAACAGATGCGTATATTTTTGTACATATATTAGTGTGTGATAACGTACAGATACTAGTAGACAGTTTCAAGAAATTCAGAGCTCCGCAATAACAAGAGAAGAAAGAAAATTACTTACTTGATACTGTTTTCTCAAGCTGATCCTTGATGGAATCAACGTCTACTTTTAACTTCTCATACTGTTCGGTTCTACGTTTGGCTTTCTTTGATCCAAATTGCTTGTTCAACGTCGCCATCTTATCGTCCACGTTATTCTTATTTTCCTCGATAACAGGTTTCTGGAGTACCGGACTTACGTACCACTGTTCCGCCTCGATCAATCGTATTTTACCCGTCTTCTTATTGTGAAGCACCAGCATTTTCCGTGTGAGCTCTTTCTTAGGATCTGGCTTGTAACCTTTGTAAACAACTTGCCCGTTCGACAACGCCAATATAGTCTTGTCTTTGCTTGGGTCGTGGAATAAACCACAAGACATGTTTTTAACTTCTTCATCTTTAAGCTCACCATTTTGAAAGTCCACTACATGACAGAAATTTTGTTTAATACGCGTACTTATATATACTTATGTACTATGTACTTATTTCAGTCAAAGAAGAAAACTAGTTTGATAACAAGTAAAAAAATACGTTCATATAACACGCAGTAAACATGCAACAATAACGTGAAAAATTCATCGTTTTACCAAGTATTGGTTGAATTTTTGTCGTTTGCACAGTAACGTCTTCAACAACCGCTTTAAACTGTTGTTTCATTTCTTTCTTTTTCATTCATATGCTGAACCGGCGCGTAACGTTGTGTTTTGTTACTTTTCACGGTTTGCATACAAGGTTATGCACACATCCTGTGTCGTTGCACGCTACCACTAGAAATACTGGATCCTACCTACGCGCCATTCTTCGTTTTCATTACCGGCTGTTGGCTTCCGTACACAGGACGCAGCAACGCTTGCCGCGCAGCGAAAGTTTGCGCGGTAGCCAATCAACGTACCGTTTTTCCGTAAGAACTAGAAGTTTGGGTGTTTTCCAACAAGAACTCGGTGTTACACAGTGTGAACACAAAGCTATTTTATTGGCTATACGTTATCTAAGTTATCTTCTAAGATACTACGTAGCCAATAAAATAGCTTCGTATAACACTAGTGTTCCTAGTTGGAAAGTCTTTATTGACTGCCACGTCGCTTCTTGCTGCGCGGTAACCGTTTCAACGTTTGCATGCAAACAGAATGAATAGAAATTGAATAGAAAAATACAAATAATGTAACGAAGCGATATTGTGTATGTGAGATTTAAATTGAATTATGAAATTAAGAGACAACCTTTGAATACTGACGCGACGAAAAAAAAAACGGAAAACGTCCCGAAATGGCCAAGGAAAAGATGTTGATACAGGAAGACAGGAAAAAACTTAGTAAATATAGTTTATTATATACAATATATGAATTCTAATTACTTATTTTAGTATTATTTTAAACGTTTTATATTATGTAACCCTTTTCACAAAACTCAAAATAATTTTATACATTTCTGTTATCGTATATTTTCTTAAAATAACTTTAAAAAAATCAAGAAACATGAAAGCATATGAAAGCACTGTATGAAAGCATACATTACATGAAAGTATATGAGATGTTGGACAGATAGAATATTAAGTTTTACAATAAAGAAATTCTAGCAGAATTATAAAGAAAAACGAACCATGCTTAAAGTAATAACTTTAAAATAACGTTTATAAGTCTATTATAAATAACATATTTTTATATGTAAGTGCAAAAGCTTATATAAATAGAGAAATTATATAAAAAGATTAGAAGAATAGCGTGAAATTGAAGCCTCTTAGATAATCCTGAATACAGTTTAAGAAATGAAAGGAAAAGATACATTTATCAATTTGTACACTTAAACTTTGCTTGAATCTCATAGAAAATTAATGCATGATTTTCGTATTTTCAATTAGTAAATCGTATTCATCGATTTCCTGAAACGTATCATTAACAGTTTTCACCCATTCGTCCAATCTTTTCTTGTTCTCCTTTTCCAACTTTGTAAGTTTCTTCTTCTTTGTATATTTTTTGACATTTTTTTCTTCGTTTTCTTCTTCTTTACCGTCATCATCCGAGAAATTGAACGTTACAACACGTTTCCTCTTGTACGAGTGCTGAGGTGGCTGTAACGATACAGACAAAGATAAAGATGATAATGAAACGTGTGCAAATCGCAGCATACATAAATATAGCATCAAGAGTAAATACCTCTGTGAAGTGCGAAGGTTCTAAATCCAGGAATAAGGGCACATCGCAACTCGACAGCCTTTCAGACTCGGACAAGACGTCGAATGTGTCGGAGAAGTTGACGACATCGACAAGTCGATTGTTCTTTTTTACTTCCGGTGATTTGCTCACTTCGACCACATTCTTCTGCTTTGTTGTCTCTTGGTGATTCTCATTCTCATTTGGCTTCTTCTGTATTAAGTTGCCCCTTAGTTCTCTTAGCGGCAATCTGGCGGGCATTGGGGTTACAAGAGGCTTGCTTGAGACACAGATCGCTCCTTTGTTCGACACTTGATCAATCGCATGCACGCTCTTAGTGAGAGTTGAATCAAACTCGGATTCATTTTCGCAAAAACCAAACGCATTCTTCAACTCTGCTATCGTCGGCTTCGTCGATTTTTTTATCGCACTGACCGGAGATGAATGAGCATCGCCGAATATACCATGTCTCATACTTATCCTGCTGTTTTCCGGCATATCCATTAAGTTGAGGAAGTCGTTGAGATTGGACTGGCGGAGTACCTTCTGCTCGTCGCAACTCTTTGGAACTCTCGTGCCGGACGGTCCAGGTTGCGGATCCACATTTTCATTTTGCCCAGCACTCGCCTTGAGCGGGGAAAAATTAGGAAAGTGTCGCTTCTTCGGTTTCTTCTTCGGTGACTTCTTGGGAGTTTGATAATTCGCTGCCGCGTTCTCCTTATCGTCGATATCGTCAAACGAGGGCGGGTTTGGTGACGGATGTGCAATTGTATCCAACGGAACATTCGTTATCGCGTTTGCTTCTGCCGCTGCTGGTTTTTCGCTGATAACTTCTATATTACTGGCCTGAATCATCGAACAGTTACTCGGATAATCGATATTCGTTATTTCTGTGCCGAACTTTCGGCACGGATTCTTCCTGTAACCTACTTTATTATCTGACATATTTTGTACCGAAGAATTTGCATTTCTCGACGTCACATCACTTGCGTTCAATGCCACTTTGTCAGCATTGCAAGAACCATCTTTTATCTGCGTTAGACGTTTCTTGGGAATGGTGTCCATTTTAGTTACATTCGGTGTGCTTTGGATGAAGTACTTGGAGCGAGAAAACATGTCAAGTAATTGTGGAGGTCGCCAGGGGCTTCCAGCATCAAATGTGTCGTATTCCTTCGATATAGGAGACAACGATGTTATCAAGAATGAAGAATTTGTTGTGTTTCTGTATTGTACCAGGGATCTGTTATTAAGTATATTCGATGGTGGCCGAAAGGGCAAAATGTCTTGATTACTGCCAGGTACAGCTTTAACGATTGAGATATTATCGGCATTCTCAATCGACACAATTCTCGGTTTCTTTGCATCTTGCATCCCGGCTTTCTCAAATCCTCCATCTTGCTTTTCAATTTGCTCCGCAGATGGCTTATCGGATGGTTTATCAGGTAAAGATGTTTCTTCTACTATGTGAACATTGGTATCTACTCTCGATACTTCAATCACATCTTCCTTTGATAAGTTGGGAGGTGGTATTGGTATCGATGCTGCTACAGATTCCAATGGAGATTTACATCGAGCGGTCTCTACAGGAAGATCTGCATCAGAATCAGATTTACCTCTGTTGTCAACGGTTTTCACTTCCACTGCGACTTTCATATGTACATTTCTCTTAGTCTTTTTGCTTTTCATCTTAATATTTCTTTTCTTTTTCTTCTTCTTAGTTAATTTTTCTTTCGTATCATCAACGTCGTACTTGAAGTCATATATATCGTTCTTATCTTCTAAGGACGGTTCGATTGTCTTTGTGGTTTTATATACAGGTAGTTTCTTTATATCATCCGAATCTACTCTCTCTAAGACCACTACACTATCCTGATGCTTTGACGGAAGATGATGCTGCAGTAATTTCGAATCGTCGCAATAATTTACTTGATTTCGACGAGGTCGTAGGCGTTTTGGCAATGATTGACGTTTAAAAGATTCTTCCAATGACATCTGACGTTGCTTCGTAGGATTATTAGTTACTTTTCTTCCTTTAATGGATATCCCATGTTCATTAGCACTTACATTATTGCTGATTATGTTTTTCCTTCTCTTGGGTATCTTCTTCTCTTCTTGCTTTTTTTCTCCCAAAGACTTCTTAACCTTTGTAACACTTTTCATTTTACTTGATTTTACAGGAGAACTACCTTTGCGTGGTTTCGCTGACTTATATTTCACTGGGGAAATATCGTTTATTACAGATAACTGTTTGGTTCTTGAGGAAACTTTAGTTTTCGGCGAATCTTCATTGAGAGTTGTAACTATTCTGGATCTGAGTCTTTTGCCAGGAATAACTTTTACAGGCAGATCACGAGTATTTAGACGAGAGGAACGCTTCAATACTGTTGGCGTAGCCATCGTGAATGATTGTCAAATCTGAGTCTGAAAACATATATTGCTTGTAATCTCATTTTATACATACGTAATATTGAAGAGATGCAAATCAATAACATGAATGCTGATATTAACATAAATTCAATCAATTCAACATATGATACACAAATATTACATGCGATGTAAATGTGACATATGATATATACTCGAACACTTGATCGCAGTTGCAAATTATTCAACAGCCTAATTTCACAAAGTTACCATGACGTATGGATACACAAAATTCCACCGATCGAGTTATCGCTACGAGAGGGACGAAAATCGGTTGTGCAAAGAGGTACGATCGAAAGGTGCCGTTTGACATGCGCTACTTACAGGTAACGAAGCGGGAAAATTCACCGTCGTACGTCGTGAACGTTGGACTCGTGCATTCAACCAGACGACACGACCGTAGTGACTTTAATACGAAGTTCTCACAAATCACTATATCACGTATAATAATATACAATTACGAATAATAATATACAATACAAATATTTGCAGTAATGTAAGTTCCGATCGTAAAAACGTAATTCCACAAACAGCATCATAACGTCATTGCACACATAATATGGCGGCGTCATGCCTGCCAATTTCACGTATCTAAATATACCTCCTGCCTTTGGCACGTGCGCCACCCAAAGAAAAACACTTGCATCATGGGAGACACTATACGTCGTCATTGTAACTAGGCGTTTCCGAATCTCATGTTTCGTTTCTAGATACTATAAATTCTCACATGTGCTGTAGGTTATTCGTTACATGTCCGCACGTCTGACACGTTTGATTAACTCACAAGGATGGCCGATGAGAAGTCTGTGGTGCAAGAATTCAAATTGGATCAAGACTGCGAACTAAGGTTCGAAGTGGAGAGTAAGAATGAAAAAGTCACGTTGGAGGTGAGCGGAATCTTCCTACCGATATCCTGTATTTTCAATCTGTTTTTTTCGCGTACCACCGGTTTCACACGATACAATTTCAGCTGAAGAATGGCCTGGCGGAAGTCTTTGGCACCGAACTGGTGAAGGGTAAGAAGTATGAATTCAGCGCCGGTGCGAAGGTTGCTGTTTACACATGGCAAGGCTGCACCGTCGAGCTGGTCGGCAAGACGGATGTCAGCTATGTGGCGAAGGAAACACCAATGGGTCTGTACTTGAATTGCCACGCAGCTATGGAACGGATGAGAGAGACGGCTGAGAAGGACGACACCAGAGGTCCCATCACGATGGTTGTGGGCCCATGCGACGTAGGAAAGTCCACGCTCTGCAGGATACTGCTGAATTACGCCGTTCGAATGGGCAGAAGGCCGATCTTCGTTGATCTCGATGTCGGTCAGGGACACATAGCGATTCCGGGTACGGTGGGTGCTTTATTAGTGGAGCGGCCATCGAACATAGTGGAGGGATTCAGCCAACAAGCTCCATTGGTCTTCCACTTCGGGCACAAATGTCCGCAGGCTAACGTGACGTTGTACAATTTGCTGGTAACCCGATTGGCGGAGGTCTGTTCGGACCGGCTGCAGGCCAACAAAAAGGCCCGCGTGTCGGGAATTGTGATAAACACTTGCGGCTGGGTGAAGGGAGACGGATACAAGTTGCTCACGCACGCGGCACAGGCGTTCGAGGTGGACGCGATTCTGGTGTTGGACCAAGAGAGGCTTTACAACGAACTGGTGAGAGACATGCCGGTCTTCGTGAAGGTGGTTTTCCTGCCGAAGAGCGGCGGCGTAGTTGAGCGGAGCCAGGCGCAAAGAACCGAGGCGAGGGACCAAGGTGTGAGGGAATACTTCTACGGCTCGCGCACCCCGTTGTATCCGCACAGTTTCGAGGTGAAATGGAGCGAAGCCAGACTCTACAAGATAGGAGCACCCGTTCTGCCCGCCTCTTGCATGCCGTTGGGCATGAAGGCGGAGGACAATCTGACAAAATTGGTGGCGGTCACGGCGGGCCCCAGTTTACTGCATCACTTGTTGTCCGTCTCATTTGCGGACTCCCCCGAGGACGACGTCGTGCAAACCAACGTGGCTGGATTTGTTTGCGTGTTAGTAGCTCCATGCGTGAAGGCGCACGTATTTTTCTTATACTTCTATTTTCTTAACGTATCTATTTTATTGCGCGGATATATTTTACAAATTTCTAGTAATAACACTGATGGACTTTGCAGGACCAATGTCGATGTTGAGAGGCAAACGTTCACAGTGCTCAGCCCACAGCCAAGACCACTGCCGAATACAGTCCTGTTGTTGTCGGACATACAGTTTATGGATAGCCATTAATCGGTCCTGTTGTGCGACAAAACAAGCAACGAAGTGAAATACTTTTTATACACTATTACAGATCGTTGGGCATAAGTAAGAAGATTCGGTCCTGTACATATACCAATATTTTCTAAATATTTATAAATAAACGCGCCGAAAAGTTTATTAAGTTTGTTTTACGGCAAATAAATGATTTTTAATGTTATCCTTCAATGTCTCTGGAAATTTATATTTTTTGCACCTTAAAAGAGAGAGAAAGAGAGAATTGATTTTAGAAACTTGAGGTAAAATAACCAAGTAATTATTGTATGGAAGAAATTTGACGTAATTCTTACGAACAGTAGGTGGCAATAATTGTTAAGAAGTGGGATAATAATCGATCAACATCCCAATCAAATTACCAAATATATGATACTATTTATCTCTCTTTACTCATCGAATTCTTAGGAGTTTTTGATATTTGCACTTTTAAATTTCTCTCTCTCTCTCCGTCTGCCATAGAATATTAAGTTACTAGATACACTTGTAGCTTTTTGATAAGAACCTAGCGACACCTGTGAGATATTAAATTGTATTCAAGTTATCGAAAATTACCGTGATGTGATCATAATAAAAAAGCAATTAGATCAAAGAAAGGAACACTGAGTGTCCGTATTTGTTTTATTTTTATGCCAATTAGACTACGAGTGTATATACGAGTTTATTGGCCTTTACCGATATTTTGTCAATGATTACGTAATGCAGGTATCACGAAGGTGTTGCCGCTAGATTTGCCTGTTTTTGTTTCTCAATTATGGCTGCGGACGACCTTAAGCCTCGTCTCCATCAGCTCGGTTAAAGGATATTAAAGGGGGTCGTCAGATGGATCGATTGGTTTTGATAAGGAAAGATTCGACATAACGGAACGAAGCAGGATTACACTCCGTTAGATTTCGCGTGTGGTATCTACTGGTCCGTTCTTTTTAGCTGTACCGTTGAATGGTATGTATAATATTACTACCGGTGCAATATGTTAGAACCGAGACAATTGGTATGTTCTTTTTAGTTGCACTGCTGAACTGGTGCGATAAGTTAGAGCTGGACAAAATATACTCCTCTCACTTTGACTTATCGCACCGGTTCAGTAGTGCAGCCAAAAAGAACAGACCAACTGAGTATATTTTGTCTCGCTCTAATATATTGCACCAGTTCGGAAGTGTAGTTAAAAAGAACGGGTCGTAATTCATTTCGAACACGGGAGGTGCGGCACGGTGTACAAATGATGAAGAAAAGGTGGATTTTTGCTGTCCGTTCATTTTAGCCGAACTAGTTGTATTAGTTCGAGGAATTTACGTACACATTGAAGCGTATAAAGTGTACTCGAGATTCTTACGCTACAATATGTGTATATTTCTTAAATTAGCGCAACTAATTCAGTTAAAAGGAACAGACCACTTGGTTTGCTTCTTCCACTTTTTGCGTCAATTTTACTCCTTCTTTTTCTCTCTAACGACTTGACATATATATTTATTTCACTTCAGGTGTAGGTGGAGTAACGTGGTTCAATTGCAAAGTACAAGTGGTATAGTAGTCGTATTTAATACATTTAGATTAAGGTCGTTCTACATTTGTCGCAAGCTGATCGCAAGCAGACGCAACTTTTGTTGCGACAGCCAATCAGGAGCGTCAATAGTATCGTTGACTCTTCTGATTGGCTGTCGCAGCAAGAGTTGTAATAGACTAGCAACTAAAATAGAACGACCTTCACAAGCTGGTATTCACAGTCGGATCTTATATTTAAGACTGTCTTAAGTTATTTTCCATTTTCATAATCAATGAACTGAGCCGTGCAGTATCTGAAGATGAATTTAGAACGGTCTTATATGTAAGATGCGACTATGAATACCGGTTTGAAGTCCATATTCTAAGCTCTCTTTTATTGATAAAAATGTCTTTAAAAGTAGCTTAAAAACCACCCGATTAGCTGGAAAGCTATATTCAAGATACTTTTATCGATAAAAAAGTTCATAATACAAGCCTATGATTACAAATTAACCGTTATAAATTATTATTATAAATTAGGTTTAGTGAGCGCGCCATTTTTTAACGCGATGAAAATAACTCATTACCACTCGCGACGTTTGGAGTCGTGACCGGTTTATTCGTTTGTTCGTGACATTATGTAATCTCAGTGACTAGAGTCAACAATTTTTAACGCCTTTTGGTGATTTCAGATAACGTGAAACGCATTCTCGCTCGTATCTGCTATATAAGATACTTCAACCGTTAAAAAATACCCCGTTCAAAGTTTATTACGCACAATATTCAAGTGTTTAATGACATTACGTTGCTATCATTTTTAAAACAATTTCTCAATGATCATCCGTTAAAGTGGCGAGCCATAAGGATATAGAAACGTCCACCTTTATTACTTCTAAAAATGAAAGTTTGTTAAATAGTGAAATTAATGCAATTAGCGCGAGCTGGAATTCACGAGCGCGCGACTTTTGAGCGTAATGAAAATGAAACTTTAACACGCCTTCGGAAATTAATTCAATCAGAGCGAGCGGAAATCCGCGCAGACGCGGGTTTTGAGCGTGACGAAGATGAAAATTAAACACGGACATTTGGAAGTTAATTTCACGAGATGTAGGAAAATACGTTTTCGGCGAAAGAAGATCGCTCCCCTTTTAAATATGAAACATGCGTATCTGCGTCGGTGAAAATTTAATTCGGCTTTTTCTTTTTCTATCGACCATAAACCCCGTCGGGGGTGTGAAAATTTCAGGACCGTCGCGTGACACTTCGCGAGACGCGCAAATTTGATGCGCGCGAGATGCGGTATTCGTTTTTTTTCTTTTTCTTTTTTTCGTTGGTGTATGATATAGTCAATAATATCAATAATATCATTTTATTATGCCAACTTTTCTCTAACCACAGCTTACAATATGACTCACGTTATACAAGAGATACATCCGTAAGTATATTAAAAATTCACGAATGTAGCACTACGCAGAGAGAGAGAGAGAGAGAGAGAGAGAGAGAGAGAGAGGAACGTGTACGTGCATTTGTTTATAAACTTACAAAAGAGTCACGGAATCACGGATGGAATCTTCCGCGTTGGAAACCGCCGCTGCCTTTGTAAATTGTTCATGAACATTTACTCGCCGTAAATACTTGATCGCATAATACCGACGCATATTGTCTAACAACTCCGCCGAAGAAGACCCCCATTGTCGAAGAAACTGAAAGAGGATGGAATACGCGAGTGTATAAACACGTGGGAGGTGACACGTTTATTAAATATCAGCCGCGCGATCGTTCGCGGGGACAAAAGTCTCGCCGCGTCGTTGCACCAATGCACAGGAACAGGATGTCGTAATGCGAGTACCGTAACCATGTGATTTAGCTGTCTGTTTCACTCGCACGCCTGTACTTAGTCTTGTGTAACGAACGTTTGCGCGAGGAATCCAGCTCGTCGCGGATGTGCCGTAGGATCGTGATCAATATTGCGCTCGACGATACGACGGACGATTAATTAATCGAGCGCTGTGTCGATACATTATTACAAAACAGCCTCTCCTCCGCATAAATATAGTCACTCTGCTGGCGAACTCTCCGCACTGTGACGTTGCGTTCGGCGTCCGTGTGCCGACGCTTTCACCTTCTTTGAGCGGCGAGTTCGAGAGACCGCGAGAGCGTCCTTTCGCGTGCGTGCGTCGTACACGTTCGTTGCATACCAGTTTTGCACTAGTTGTCCCAATTAGTTTGCAGAATTCGCAATTCATTAACATTTCCTTTCGAAACCCGACACACAGGTGTCCGCGTGAATAAATCAGGAAGGTTTGCTACGGCTAACCTGAGCGAATAATCTGAGAAGCAAAAGACGCGTGTCAACACGGATTGTTTCCAGAATGCTGACGAGTCTATCTTTTAAACATGCTCGCTGATATCGAATCCCGTTATTGGAACGTAGATACATGTCGGACATTAAATCACATTGTTACCGTGGCAATTTAATGGCTCTTTCGATCGTTTAATCAGAATTCAAATTCATCAGAGAATTCCGATCGGGATTGATTTCTTTTTATTAATTAATTAAAACCAATCAAGCTCTTTTCGAATTTATATATATATATATATATATTATTTATACATCTCCATGTACATGTGTGTGTATATGTATATATGTGTTTATATGTATGTATGTATACATATATACGTATTGCTTGTACATCCTCACGAGCGTCCCGGCTTATCCTGCCAGCGACGGGAATCTTCCAGGACGCGAATAAACGCCGTAAACCGATCAACAGTAATATATCGATATACGCAAGAAGCGATAGAAAAAAACAACGAAAAAAGGAAACGCAACTATATATATATTACAATAATGTTATTACTTTAACGCAACGCGCTCTCTCGTGTCGCACCGAAGTTCTCTACTACAGCCGTTGAGGATCGCGATGAGGGGTCGACTACGATTCGCCAACACGAGAGCTTCGCCTTTCCTTCTTTCCGTTCTTCTCCTCGTTTTTTTTAAGCGTTCAACGTGTCCCCTCCGTTCTTCGATATCTCGTTATTAAAGTCCTCGACCGTCTCGGCGCTCTCCGGATTCTGCGGCGAGGTTGTTCCCGGCGTCGTGTTCGCGTCACTGCCGACCGGCGGCAGCGTGTCATTCAGCGGCTTCACGTCGATGATGCGGATGCGGAACGCAGTACCACCGTTCTTGTCTCCCGACGAGTACGTCGTTTCATTGATCGTTACCATGTGGCCGTCAACGACCTGCAAGCAGAGGACGATTTAGACGCGATTTCGATCCGCCGCTCCGGACGGCATCTCATATATATTTAGTTTTGAAAAAATGCATATTTATTTTAAAAATAATAATTTTAAAAAGAAATTTATTTTGTTTCGTTTTGCAAAACACATATGATTTTTTAATGATTTTTTAATTTACGCACGTACACACACACACACACACACACACATATATTATCCGGTGGATATTTAAAACATTGATGATATTTTTCGTAGTACACTTGATCTCTTAGTCGTTATAAAAATACATTATTTCAGCTATTCATTATAATGTATTATTTCAGTCATTCATTGTAAATTATTAAAATTTTATTAAAACATAATTATTTAAATTAGTAAAATTTGAATAAAGGATTCGACAATCTGTCGGCCTCTTTTTCTCCCTGACCTCTGAAATCGGATCGAATGAATAATTCGATTTGTGTTCTAGTGTATTTTTCAGGTGAAGATAATATAAGATACATACTGAAATGCACAGGCCGGAAATTGCAACATCAAAATTAATGAAGCTTCATTATCGGAGGATTTGCATCTGTTACGTGGATTACGCGTATTTAAAACGTGACGATGGAATGCAATGCGGCGGCTCATTCTGTTAATGAAGAGAGATAGTGCTACAGTCGGGATTATTGGAGCCGCTCTGCTCTTAATTTAAGTTGTAGCTATGCATATAACTACTTTCCACGACGTTTTCACACGTGAAAGCACGCAACTAAGAAAGTTTCGTTCAATATTTATACATTTCCCTGGAAGAAAGTAAAATCGTATCTCTCGATTGCTCAAAGTCTCCCGAGTCTCTTCTCCGCCATCTCTGCTCCTTCCTCTGTTTCATTTCGATATTTTTAGATCTGTTGTGCCGCGGAAAGAAGAAGACACTATCCCCCAGAGAAAAATTGTTATTTCTTAGATGTATTGTCCCTTACAAAAAGAATAAACTTTCCGCTCTTTCTCTCTTTCTCCCTCTTCACCGACCGCCTCTGTTTTGCGCGAGGAGAATGTTCGCGTGCAAACGACGGGTTTTACGCGAGAATAGCGCCATGTACAAGAAAGAAGACAGTGAGAAAGAGAGGGGGGGATCGAGCTCGGCGAACTTTTCGGCGGGCAGTCATCCGCTTCCGTTAGTCGCGCTTTGTGCGGCAAGTCGCATTTAAGCGTTAAGCGACTTACATATCAGAGATGGCGGCGCGCAGATTCCGAGCGTGTAACAATACGCGACAGGAAATGCAGTAATCCGATCACCACCGGCGCCGTACACTTGGTGTTGCCGTCCCATTGTTAAAGGGATCCTATCCTGCTCTCTCCCTCCCTCCTCCTTCCCCCCCCCCTCTCTCTCTCTCGCTTTCGCGTTACCGCGGTTTACACGTGTACGTAAATTGCTGGCGATGCATTATCTGCGCGACGCGTCCGGCGCGTCGGAGTTTCCTCGCGTGTCGCCGGGATTATTTTACTTCGCTCTATGTAGCGCGCGGCGTCATTAACCACCACGGCTCGAGATCTGGTGAGATCGCACTTGCACAGTCGAAAATACCCGGAGCGCCGAATGCGGCGCTCCGAGAAAAGCGGAGTAGAGTTGGCAGCGTCGGGGGTGAGAGGGGGCTTGGAGAGGAGAAGGAAGGGGGCGTGATAATTTTATCGATTAACAATGAACCGACGGTCTGCCGGGAGAGCGCGATGAAACTTTTACATTCTTCGCGAAAGATCAATGTTTCTTGCGCTTGAAGCATCCACCTCCGATCTTTTAAAACTTTGAAGAATCTCCCCGAATAAATTGCAAATTAAAAAGCGAGAGAGAGAGAGAGAGAGAGAGAAATTCACGGGAGGCAAAAGAATGGGCGATCGCGTTCGCTCGACCGACTCGGTCATCGGGAAGGAAAGAGAAAGAGAGGAACAGAGGGAGTGGGGGGAGAGACAGAGAGAGGGAGGGGGGGAGAGATCGCGAATTTGCAAAACGTGTTCGTCGGTCGCTTACCTTAACGGTGGAAGTTGTGTTCGCTCCTTCGGGAATCGGCATGTTTGTGAAATCGGGAACATTCCAGAACCATTGTAACATTTGCTCCCTGAGTGCATTTAGAGTTTCTGAAAAGAAACGAAGCGAATATTGAATGAAGGGGAGTCCTCGCAAGTATACATCCCCGTATACATCCCCGTAAAGTAAGCACACTCGCAAGTAAGCACCCACGTATGGGGGTGTAACGTGCGCGCGAATGATACTTTCATACGTAATTCTTGAACCCTCGGCTACCACCTTTTATTTTGCGGATGTCGATAACAACGACGCGATAAAGTGCGCTCGATAATGCATGAATTTAAAACACGCGTAAACGCCAGTTCAACTGTTTAAAAAAAAAAAAGGAAAAAGCGTTTGTCAAGCGTTCGGGGATGACGTGGCTTTTTAGGGTCACATGTTGTCGTCGGTCCGCAAAATTGCGTTTTCATGATTTTGATTTGGGAAATGAAGCGTACGGCGACAGACCCATCGGCTCGTGTGACGACTTATTGCGAAAAAAATAAATCATTCGCTGAAATAATTCGCGGCCGAAGCACCGTCTCTCCCCCTTCGCGCTCGCCCGAATATATCGATCGATCGATCGATCGCGCGCGAACGATAGTTCTCTTTTTTCTCGCTCCATCCCATTTGTAACAATGTGGCTCTTCGGGTAATTTTTCCAATGTAATTTCGTTATGTAAACAATTCGACTTTTCAATAGAGATTACCGCTCGCGACAGGTTCCTCCCTCTGTGCTTTCGACCGGCGTCGAAGAGTATGAAATGCAGCTGCGAGAGCTCAAGATTTCGCTGCGTACACCGTTCGCGAGGTATTGCCGGAACTTTTGTATTTCGAGTCGTACATTTAGCGACTGTTCCGTTGATTCCGCCTAGTTACCGTGCCGTTTCATTTTAACGACCCGACAGCGCTTTATTGCGATTCGGCGTGAATCAGGTCGCGTGCACACTGCGAACGATGAGTCAAGAGCCGAGCGATGCATCAAACAACAAATGAGGATGGTAATACATCCGTGTCTCTTTTAAAGATCCGCAAAAAGAACCGTATACACATCGAAGAATCGCATTTCGCGAGAGCACGACGCGCGCTAAACGGGCTGTGCGACGATATGAAAGTTGTTTCTCCAAAGTGCGCGATTCGCGTGTAACCAGTATATTACTTTTAACGATACGGTCAATCGCTATTTAATTGCGCTCGCAGAAATCACCGGGCCAATTTTTTACGCCGAGGGAAAAATTGATTTTCCCCACGAGTCGAAATTTTAATCTTCCTTTAAATCTGATTTAGTTCTGCGTTAGGTGTTCGGAGGTCTTCTATTACGCTCCTTTGATGCTTTAAATCAATAAGTTACTGCTGTTTTCTCCACTTAAAGACTTAATGTAAAACTAAAATTTAGGCTCTGGAGAAATAAATTTCTTGCGCCGCGTCGGAGAAGCACTTATTCTGCTCCTTTGATGCTACAAATAACTTGTTTCCGTTTTATCCACTAGAAGACTTAATGTAGAAGAATGTAGAATTTAAAATTTCCACCCGGCCTGATATGTCTCTCTTCTCGTAATTTTCATATTTCTCTCGAACAAACATACATATTTACATATACATCTATCATGGATATCAGTGTCTCTGGCAACGTCGGCGAATTCGCGAGAGGGATATCGTTATGCAATTTCGGCGATAAGACGCGGTTGGCGCGCATTATAAATAAAACGGATCCCTCCACCCACTCTATTTTGTAAAATGTATTAATAATTTATGCCATGATTGGATCGCGCGAAGGGGGAAAGAGAGAGACAGAGAGGGAGGCGAGGAAGGAGACACGAGGTCGTCGGCCGCGTCGATAAATTTTGCATATTTTATTGCGCTTACAATGCGGTTGCCGGAGTAAAATAGCCGACTGTATTGGCCGATTATTGCTATGTGGAATCTCAATGAGGATGCCCGGGCTGAGCGTATTATTTGACGCGGTGGGCTTCGTTTGCATAGAAAAATTTGCAAAACGCGGGAGCAACGACACGGCTGTATCGGATACCGGCCATTGAAATCAACGCGTTACCAGCTCTCCCCCCCCCCCCTTNTTAATTAGCCGATGAAACGACCGGCTATTGTTAAAAACGGCCGTCCATAAACGCTTATTTTGAAATGCGACGCGTGCCGAATACGAAGGGCGGTTTATTAATCGCCTCGAATCGACGGAGGGAAATTTTCGATATCGATTTCTGCGTTTTAGCAGACGGGCAACAAGTAAACAGTTTTATTAGACCGATCGTGAGGCGTGTTATGTCGTTTCAAATGTAAAATACTTTCATCCGCTTCATCACCAGAGAGGAATCTAACGGCTGCTCTGGAACTTGCGTGATATTCACTTAACGACGACGACACGAAACGACAGCAACGAGCTCGAATCCGATTGACTTTGTGGATAGAAATCTCCGCTCATGTCTCATTAAAGTCTTACAACACACGAATAAAGAACAAATTTCACAGGCTACTGTAACTGCTTATAACGTCTTCACTGCTATTATGCGTCGCGAGCTTTAATTGCGCCAATCTTGGCTCTATTCCACGTGAAATTACATACAGTGACTAAGTCTTATAATTAGCGAGGTCTTTGTATGCGAAACTGCTTATCATCAGCTTTCGACGTGACGAACATGGCAACGTGATAAATGTCCCGATATATCGGCCAAGTTCTGAATCACGAAAGCGAGAACCCGTCGGCGAACCGGTATTGAGAGTTCGATAGAAGGCCAACCGGTCACAAAATTGACGTAGACTTTACCACGTCCGCTTTGTCTTGCGTACACATCGTGCATATATATAGAATATAAATATAAAGTATCTGCTCTTAACGTAACCGTGTTAAATGCTCACGTGTAGAACTGTTCTGAAACCAATGTGTGATTCCAAATTGGTCAGAAAGTAAAGCCAGATGAACGTAGGAAAAAAGGAGGGGGGGGGGGGGCGAAGAANAAGAAATACGTGAAAATCACAATGAGGGAAATTTCAGATTTCCTATCAAAAAATCCCCGTGTACTCGTATTTTAAGATAATTTAACATTCTACTTCATTTTTATGTATTTTTTCTCTTCCTATGTGAAAATTCTCCGTAGTTTCGATCTCATAGAAATCACCTATCCAATTATGGATCATGATTCGTGCTGCTTTACTTTAATGATCGAACAGGAACCGACGAGCCCTACAAACTCTAGAGTAGAGTAAAGAGAGAGTTAGAGAGAGAGAGAGAGCGAAAAAAAATCATAAATATATATTAATAGATACCAAATATTTGATAAGAATGGAACTGAGCGATTTCGTAATATTTACCAATACATCTAGTAATAATCATCAAACATTTGATAACAGATGTTAAATATTTGGTAGCTGTAACTATTTTATTCAATTGATTCAACTCTGAATAAAAGTCATTTATACTGCGGGCCAATTAAATGCTTGGTAATTATTACCAAATTTTGTAACAATTACCTAATGTTCCGTCGAAATCTCTAACAGAATGCATTTAGTAAGTACCATTTAGTAAGTACCAGTCTCTTTTTTTCAGTATGAAAGAGAAACAACCTGGTTGAACAGAACCTGTCGGAACAGTCGCACACACAGGTTATATCGCGCAAATTGAAAAAATGTTCTCCATTCTATATCCACGTGACGAGCTTACGTTCCCTTATGAATGATTAATCTCGCGCGCATCGCATCGTCATCCGGGCGCGTTTCCGGGACTAGCCGTCGCCGGAAACGCTTCCGCGTGCAAATCGTTCGTTCGGCGGGCGCGCTTCATTATTAAATTTCAGATTGTCCGCGTGCTAAAATAATAAACAGCGCGTGAAATGATCGGTGAAAATTGGCATCCGTAAGCTCTCCGTCGCGGTAACACCCGCGGTCCCCCGGGCCCATTTCCAGTCGGCCGGTCTCCCACGGTCCACCGTGTCGCGCGGATTTGAATAACGATTCATCGAGTCGCGCAATCAACGATTACTGCTGCAAATTGCCGTCCTATTCGCCGCGGCTTTCAGAGCCCCCCTGGATTACGAATTATATACCGGCGGATCGCGGCGGCCGATTATCTTCTCTTCCGTGCTTTCGATGGCATGATCCACACACGGGGCGATCCGCTCGAACGGTGAAAGTGATCAACTTTGTGCTCTTGTGCGTCGACCTTGGAGCGCGTCGATCCTGGGCGGCGGCGGTGACCTTTGCGAATGACATTTCGTTACCTTCCAATCCGCGTGTTGCGAGACCGCCGAGAGAGCGCCTTCCTCGCGCGATCTCACCCGGTGATCTCGTTTCACGCGGAACATATCCTTAATGATGTATCGAAACGGAGCGGCGAAAGCGTGGCTTATCGAGCCCCGATACGCAAATTATGCTGATAATTCGCGCAATTTGCGCACTCCTGTCGTTTATCATCACGTCATGTCGCGAATACACGACGTCGACTTTCGCGTGACGGATTATTTACGATTGTGCGGTTGCGTAACAGCAGCAGTGAAAAGCTAAATTGAGATTTGTCGTGCTATTTTAGAAACGGCTGCCTCAAAATGCGGCGTCGGACGCGTCAACATTTTCAGATTGATCGCGACGGGCTTTTTCCTTTTTTTCTTTGCGTTATTTTTTGGTTTTTTTCCACCAGTTATGCACGCGCGGGAGAAAAACGCGCGGACTTTTCGTGCGCGGTCTAACGCATTTCTAATTCTACGTGAGGACGCTTGGTATCCGCCAACACACAGCGTCGGATCCACTCTCGCTTCGATCGGCCAAGGCAATATAATCAAAGCCTGGAGTCTGACATCGTAGCGACTTGAGCGTGTCGCGACTTGCAAATAGGCATACTACTGAAACTATCCGCCGCCCGCTGCATTCCGCACGAGTGCCCATGGAATTTGATATATGAGATACACGTAAGGGATCGTGTGCGGCTATATGCGCGGCTCACAAATTTATCCTCTATGATTCGCGCGCGGAATCGCTCGGAAGTCCATTCCTAACGATGACGTTCTTGGGAACCCGTTGTCTTAACACTCAGGTGTGCAGATTTTTTTATATACTTTTATATGTA